GAATCCCCAAATCTCAGCTTCGTAACACAGAACAGGAAATATAATTGAATCAAATAATTTGAAATGGTTGTCAAAATGCAGGGTCTGTGCCAGTAAATCGACCGATTCTCAAACGAAACTCCCATTACCAGTTTGTTGAATTTGTATATTCATAAGTTGGCAATGGTCATTATGTAGATCTTGGGTATATGGTACAGCTGTCACAATTTCAGTAGGCTAACAACAACAACAACAACAACAACAACTACATACACACACAGTCCTCCTCACCTGCAGCCTCTACATTTTATCTAGGGTTTGAATTGATGTTATTCACAGAATTGTTCAATCGATAAATAAGACAAACCAATGCTGTATTGCGCGGACGTAGGACCTATATATAAATATACGGGTGGCGCTAGACTAGCATTCTATATAGGCATTATATAGCCTTGAATTTATTCCATTACCCGATTTCCAATTAGTTGCCATCCAGGTGGCTTTCTAACTCTGGAAGATCGGCGTGGCATAATACCAGTAGTTGTCTCTTCATTATTGTCACGTCTTTCTGACGAGGCTCGAAATAAGGTTGGGGTAGCCAGATTAGTAAGCAAGGATGTATCAATATCCGAATCTGAGTCTTCAACTTCATTTAGACATCTAACATGGTCGGAGAAAGGCTGATGTAGCACAGTAGGCTTAATTGGGTAGCAACCATTAAGTCTAACATCATATATTTTAGCACGAAACTTGGATTTCATGAACTTTCTAATTCGACAATGGTCATCAGACATCATAAAGGTATACCATTTCACCAAGACATATATCTCATGTAATATATATTGACTTGCCATGCGCTTTTGATTTTGAACTAGGACTTGAAATGGTCTCTGTATCCATATCTCACGTTCCGATAAGCCTCCTCTCCTTATTCCGGTATTTATATTACAAGTCACCATTGCTAAAGTAGTAATGGATAAGGGACCTTCTTCAGGGTTATTTTGAGGCATCCAGTTTCTTGATAGCATACTCTGCCACTAAATTCTTATTAACAATTTTAACATTTCCAACCTATAAACGTATACCTAGTCGTTTGAATGTCTGCCCGGGCCAGAGTCCACATGTGTCACAGTGTAAGGCCTGCTTATTGCTATTAAGAGGGCCTTCCACATAACTCACACTGGACAGGGGGTTCTTTCACTGCTAGAATGGGGTACACAAGACAATAGTACTGGCAATGAAATACACATACACCACAATATCGAGTTAAAGCTCCTGGCTTTAATACCTCTCAAAATAAGTACAAGAAACAGAGCACAGACAAATACAATGAATAAATTCACTAAAATAGGGGATTACCTAGGGAAGTGTGCATCGGTGATAACTCACAGTTTCAGAATGTAGGAATTGATGGCAGTCAATGGCTTCTGCAACACAACGATGAAAAAATACAGGAGTCTTGCTTGCAGAGGAACCCTGTTATTCTTGAGGGCGCCGCTGATAGCAGGAGATCGCAGAACAGTTCATACAAGTCTCACAGAATGATGATTGTAGTCTGTATCACTTGTCTCACAATATCGTAGCAGCAACACACAGGATACTAAGTTGAAATGATGGACCCCAACTGTCCTCAGTCTAGCCTATTTATAGACACATTTCAGGTACACCATCTGGATTTCCACATGAATCAAATAGAGTGTGGTCTTGCTAGCAGCTGAAGATGAACTGCTGTGAGCAAGCCGTCAATGATGCTTCTCAGGCCAACAATACATTCTCTGGTTGGCTGGAAAAGTTGAGTATCTCTCACTATAAGAAGTCCGTCATTAGCTACATTCCCCTTGCAACGTTTTACGTCTTTAAATTAAGCCAATTTCTTTGAGGGTCTGGTGCCTTGGATAAGGTGTGAATGAGTAGCATCTTCCCCCAACCCCTTAATAACGTCACTTACACTCAGATTAGTAACCACGCAACTCTCCAACTCAACAAACTTACAAATTTGACAAGATCGGTCCAAACATCTGAAGGTACATTTTAAACTTCTGGTATGCTATAACATCTATCATGTAACAGCTCAATGTGGACAATAATGTAGTAACTCTGGAACTGGCAGAGAACTCACCCCGTCTCAATTTCTTGTAAGCCTGGACACAAGGTCGACTATTAGTCAAAAGCGAGGGTTTATGTTTAGATTGTATTATATAAGTGCTTTACTGTTGCTACTATGCACAAGGATTACACTTCACATGGCAACCATGCTTGTTGATGTTTCATCAATTTAGCATTAAAGAAGCCTGATAGATGTAATTTGCGATTTTGTTGAGAGGAGTTCAATGTAGCAGCAATTCCTTTATTTTTTCCTGGATGCATTTGTGATTATCCACAATTGGTCATTTGAATCAGGCACTGTAATCTCTCGACAAAATTGGAGTGCATTTTGAGCAGTTTTGAATGAGTTTATTAGATTCTCCGACCAGTTGATTTTGCTAGCTGAAAGGATCAATGATATCTGCACAACCTTTAAGAACACGACTGTGAACTTTGTATGCTCCAATAAATGATTGCAACCCTGCGACAGTGTTAATGGGGGAAGTCTGCCCTTTCTTTTGGGGGGGGGGGTTAAGACTGGGCCCATGTTTTCCACTGCTTCAATCTGTCCACTTAGGTATTGAAGGGTTGAATACTTCATCATATTGTAAATGCAAATCCCCGAATCTGCCCTTAGTATCTGCAGGAAGCTGGGACCAATGATATATTAGTGTGGGTGAAATGGTTTGGCTGAGTTATTTGCTATTGGAGTATTCTCATGAGTATTTTCCATAGCTGGTGTTATTGGGCGAAATTTGCACATATGATCATGTCGTTTTACCAATATTGGATCAGGTGTTGAGTTAGTAACTCCGAGGGTGTGACCAACTGACTGGATTTTCTGGGGGATAAGTTGTACTAAATCAAAGATGTTTATTGGTCTGACTATCCATTCGAGGTTCCAATTACATCAAGTGGGGTTACTCCATCAGCCTGATGAACCATCTGAGATGCTGGTTTAGCGGGCAGATTCACAGCTTCAGCAAATGAGGCTCTTATTAAACTAGTTGTGGCCCAGTATCAAAAGTTACTTGGTGTGAATACTAAGATAATATGTATTCGAAAATGGGGACTGTATTACATTAACCCGTGGAGTTGTTGGCCGATCAATTAGAGTATTGTGAACTACAGACTCGTCTTGTATATCATATTCTATATCATCGGTGAAAGTTGAAAGTCGTCTTCATTTTTAGTGTGACCAAACGAGAACGACTGATAGCACCCCTATCTGCTTCCGGCCAGTACCTACAGTCTATCAGTGTTTGTGGGGAATGCCCAAGTCTCATAGCTGTTCTACAAAGAACAGACATTTTAAAAGGCTTTTTGCGTGCAGCGTACTTCAGATATGAGAATTACCTTGTTTTCTTCATGGCCGGTTAAAGCACCTATTTTCAATATTGTGTAACTCGTCCAATAGAGATGACATGGCTTGCGAAATTTCGGGTTTCAAAACAGCCAAAGATTTATTACGTAGTTCCGCACCCCATTTCGTCTTCTCTATAGAAACACAGTCAGTCGTGTTCTCAGGGGTTGGGTTCAAATCTTCATCATCTGGCGCCCAGTCATTGTGATGTGTAATGCCGCCATCTTTGGTCAATAAATTATCTTCATAAAATGCGCTGACACAAATCTTCACGTTTTCCATCCGATTGTAGGAGAATTTTATCAAGATCCAACAAATGAGCCCCATAATCCATAGTCAAATTTTCTGTCAAATATCACTGAGCGAGGTACATTGCTTATGATATAACTGTGCAGTAATTTGCTATCTGACAGAGCAATACTTCAAGCTGGACATTTTTCGGCGGGCATTGGGCTTCCATCGTCCTGTAGTTCTCTGGTTTGGTTGGCAGTATTTATCTTCCTCCATTTAAATCCATCAACAAGAAATACCGAGAAATTATTTTCGAGTGAAAGGATATACAATAAATTCTGTTTCCAGTTTCCAAATGAATCAGTAGTTTCATTATTGGTGAGTTGCCATTGCTTCGGAGCGCGAGCGGATGCCATAATGGTTTGAATGAGCCCAATCACGGTTTAATGGTTCACAGCAATATCACAAACTGCACGAGAGTCACAGAAACAAGGAAACTACTTAGCTCAAAAACTGGTGAAAGTGAATACAGGTGAAAGGCTTGACTTTAGTCTTCTATTTGTTGAAGTCACAAGTGTCGACGTACTAGGCTCTTTACGAAGCCACCGCAGCAATTGAGACAAACTAATACTGTATTGTGCGGAAGTAGTTAAACAAATCTTGTTTCTTATTTAAATTTTGAAATATACTTTTTGTCATTGGCCAAAATTATGGAAGCACCCGCTTGATCAAATATTACTGAAAACAAAGTTTTCCATTGGTGATCTCACAATTCTATTGATCTGTTGGCCATGTTCATTTTAAGTAACTTTGAGAAGATAAACAAATCTACCAGATTTAAACCTCTCTGTGTTATAGTTCCACCGAGAGTGATCCTGCTGATTATCGGTATTTTTCATTTCCAAATGAAATCATAAATTCTGATATTTATTTGGCACTGGTGTGGGATTTAGCAGTGAAGTGAGCAGATATTTGAGCTGTGATACGACCAATCTATTAACTACCGTGATGATACCAATCAATGATAAATGTCTGTCTCCACACAGGCAGTGAGAAATTAACCTTTGTAACTGGCTGGTCCATGTCAAAGATCAGACTAAGAAACTCAAACTGATCAATTTAAATTCTGACAAATCATCTCTTTAGATCCCTTCTTATACCACGAAAAAAGTTGCTTTAGTTGATAAATATAAATGCGCATTTGGCCATGGTGGGAAACAATTACTTTAAGGTGTTTTCAGAACAATTCTTTAAGTTAAGAGAACATCGTCCACATATTGCTCAATTTTTGCTCACAAACAATAACAGTGTCACTTATAAAATACAGACAACTTACATTAACATTATTCCCGTCATTTATTGTTTATGAAGAGACAATAATAGTTATAATTGTGTGTAAAACATTGGTATAATTCGGTAACTTTAACATGTGTTATGTGATACAGATAGAATTGTCACAATACTGATTATTATTAGCACGCAACACACACACACACTCAACACTGGTTATTAGATTGAATACAGGGCTCATTAACGGGTTGTACCTCTACAGCACGTAGCCACAGCCCATACACCAAAGTTGTTACTGTTCACCGCTTTACAAGTATCACCTGGGAGAACAAACAAGAATTATGTTAAGCATCTCCTGTATGAGTTATTCACCAACACAAAACGAGTACAGTTTCTCAGACTGCAGTGTCATTTACCAAAATAACACTTAATCCAGATTTCCCTGAATCATTGCGAACACACTAATAACCCAATATACATCTGGTCGACCATCGATTGGACATTTTCAATTTTCATTGATAACATGTAAATTTTATGACCGACCAACGAACGAGTTTTACTAGTGGCATCGAATATATACAAATATATGTAAATATTATGATACATGTTAAAACTTACCCTCAATATATGCTCCAATATTACCAACCCATGAAGTGAAACTGTTACATCCAGTTAATGTCCACCCTTCATCGCACATCACTGACGCACTGTCCCAACTACTAGTACCACTCCTTGTGGAATACTTGACCCCACATTCAAGGTCAGGGGCGCTGCAACATGCAGCGTACGAATACACGCCTGTAAGATACACCAAACATTTATATGGCATGTCTTCAGACAAGGGTACAACAATAATTTGATGGTTTGAACATATCCTTACCTGCACCACAATAGCCGTTAATTGCCTGACACGCGTTCCTTGTTATGGGGCTAGTAGTTCCTTCTGATTGGTCTCCTACAGGGCGTACACCATCTATACACGTCCATGCAGTAAACGCCATGCATCCTGGGTAATAAAGAAACCATATTTGGTATAAATAAATCAAACATATCAAATAGTTGAAGGTTTGCCATACATGCTTCTTATTTTATTTCATTTGATTGATATGTTACCACGGTAACTTACCTGTGGGAATTGTAGGACGCCCGTTGAACCAATGATCACATACTGTTTCAGCTATATCGTCGTCCTGACTTTCGGATTTTTCAGACTTGGGGTAATAGCACGTCATATCTTTCCATGTACAGCAACGTGCAAATGCCCGCACTCCTGCAAATAACAATCGTATTTTGGTATTATTCAAGTACAGGTCGAGTCATTGATATATGAAGGAAATACATACGAACCCATGGGAAACACGGTATGTAACGTGAGAGAACAACATGAACAAATATGAAAGAGGTTCACACAATCAAAGTAATCGGGCTGGTAGTTTTCCTGAAAAATCTTATTTTTTTATCAAAAATGAAAACAAGCGACATGGCTCCGTTGTCCTTAAGGTGGGGGGGGGGGCAAAGGGAAGAGCTGGTACAGGTTACAGAAAATAAAAAATGCATTTTACATGTTTACAGGAAATAAAATGGAAAGTTCCATTTCCAGTAAAAAAGGTTTTTACACTTTACAGATAAAGCAAATTTTACATTTTTATAATATATATGATAATTTGTGTTTAAGAATGAAAATTGGAAATTTAGCACGAATTACGACTTTTAATGTGGAAAATGTTTTATACGCTTACAAAAATCAAGATCTTTGTACAAATTACGACGAATAAAATAGCTGATTGCCTTTTACAACGTGCCCGTGTCTACGAATTTACGTTTTTTATTTATTTAAATTACGTTATTACGAAAATAAAAACAATTGATTACAGCTTACGAAAATGTCCCTTGCCGACCCTCCTCAAAGAGTATTGTGGTAGTAGCCAATTTCAGTAATGCACACCACGCAGGTAACCCACAAAAAGGTTCTGGCTCTGGCTTTTTGAATATGCCAACCTAACTTCACCAAAAATGATGTACAACTCGACTATCAAAACAATCGGGCTGGTAGTTTTCAAGAATAGGTCGAAAATGCCATTTTGATCAAAAATATTCGCTTAAAATAGAAATGTGTTTAAATGATGGTATCGCCATGAAATGAACAAATCTCTTAAAGGTCTACCAAAGATCCCTAAATAAAACATACCAAACCAATCGGACTTCTAGTTTTTAAGAAGTCAAAAATATCATTTTTACCAACAATGACAACAATATTCGCTAAAAATAGAGAATGAATGATATTGTCAGGAAATGAACAAATCTGATAGAGGTCCACCTAAGCACAGTCCCTCCACACGAGATTTGTTCATGTTGTTCCCCCGCGTTACATCCCGTGTTGAGGGACTGTGACCCAAGGTATCTACATGTATCTACATGTATCATACCAAAGCAATCAGGATGGTAGATTTTAAGAAGAATACATAATATTTGAATACAACGACGGACAATCATCTAATATATGAACAGCTTTGCTATGTCATCCACGACGCTTTGCTTACAACACGTACCCAACGAATTTGACTAATGGGTGGCGTAATGTATATTATGTCTATATGCTTGGTTCGCAAGTTTCTGTAACAGAATGAAGTGAAATTCATCTTTAACCAATCGTAGACATAATTTCTAAGCTAGTTATTTTAGTTAGACACTACTCGCAAAAGAACTACATATCATTTGCAAGTTATTTCCTCAAATCAATTAATCGTATTTCAAACAGACGATCATCAAGAGTTCTAAATACGGATATAGCAAGTTAATTGTAGATTAAAGCCTATTGTTCAAATGAATAGGGTGCACTACGAATTGTTCGTTATTTGACAACCTAAAAACTTAGGTTTATCTGACATGACGTGTATTTCCTGCCTACATAAAGTGATGCAAATCATCTGAATTATTGTGTGTTACATTGTCCGTATCACTTACCATGCCCTCCATTGCCATTGTATGCCACACAAGTGGCGCGTCCATGAGCTGAGAACACAATTTTTTCACCATTTCTAGAATCGTGTCTACCACCTTCCAGAACACTGCTACATCCGGTCATTACCTCATCTTCTAAACATGTGACCTCGGACATGTTGTCGTCGTCAGGACCGGAGGACGACCCTTCCCGAGTGACACAGGTGTGTTCTCGGCTGTTATTACATTCTTGGGCTTTCATCTGCTTGATTTCTAGAAAATATAACCACTGCCAATAAGGTCCGGCCAGGTTGTAGTTCAATAGAACTTTGTTTTTCAAAGTTATTACATTAATCGATGCATGACTGTGACTTACCATCTGATAACATGTCTATACGCTCTGATATACTATCCACGATCTCCGCTGTATTTGTACCGACGTTATAAACATCACAGACATGACACGTTTCCTGTTATTCAAAAATATCATTATATAACTTAATCGACAAGCCAATACTAATTTAGAAGTATAGGTTAATTTAGATGAACCTAAATATTTTGTGCACATTCACTAAGTTTTATCTGTATCAACTGAGTATCGGCCACGCCGTGTATTTGTATCGACCACTCACTGTATGGTATATCTTTATTTACTAAATATCAAAGTTCGACCAAATACATAACGTGTCTAATGCCACCAGGCTACGTGTACGGGGCATCAAACAGAGTTACATAAGTTCAATAAATCATTATATTTGTAAATCAGTTACATGTTGGTACATGTATACGACTAATTTAAATGCTGTGTAGACAAATTTGTCAAGATTTCTTATTTAACAGATATTATATGATGTGATATCACAATTTATGGACCTTGATGGCTTAGAGTGAAATATACTCGGTTCACAAGTTTCTATAACAGAATGATGTGAAATTCATCTTCAAAACGATTTCGCATAATATACCTGTTAATATTTCTATTATGACATCGTTCAAATAATTCTTTTGAAATAAACATAAGACTCACCAATGTTACCACGACTGTAATCGTCAGAATAGAGTAAGCGAAGAAAACTGTGTTTAGATGCATCATGCCAAAACTGTATTTACTATAATATCAAAATTTACGTGTGTCTGGTTTTATATCTGACTAATCTACGTCACGTGGTTTTTTCAACTTGTTATCGGTCGCTTATAACACGGGGTCATTGTATTCATGGTTATTTACCTCATAGCCGACATCCATATCCTTTATCTACAAACCTAAAAGCATCTGTATTTTTATATCTGATTATTTTTTATATTTACAGTATTACTGTCGTTACCACAATTCTTTGAACTGCAGTTTTGGGTAAATGTAATTATAACCCAACTTTCAGGCAAAAATATGAGAATTATTTTGGCATATTACAAAGTAGTCCGTAAAATCAAAACAACAATCACAACAGAGCCTGACATCCTGTCGCCGAATTAGACAACTTGGCAAAAACAAATTGGCCAGAACATTTCATAGGGCAGGAAATAGATGTGAAATAACTCCTAAATTGCAATTATTTGTACACATGAAAATTGTATTAACAAATAAGTAAATAGCAACCTACATCATTTGGTTAGTTGATACAATCATTCACAATAGCATATCATATATGCCGTGGTCAGAGGATTTGTATGCAGGCTGTATACGACACCAGTGCACTTGAAAACAATGATGTCATCTCCTGTTGTGTTGTTTTGGCATCAACGGTCGATAAACAGCATTGTATTCAAATTTTCAATGACGTAGTTTTGTGTATAAGAGTGCACAACACTTAATGTTGATGTTACAGTAACTTCATTGCTTCGACAAGATGTACACCAACGCATTTCTCTTCACTGTGTTTCTTCTCGTAACTTCAGCCGGGGATGCAAGCGTAATTTCAGTGGTGAGTTCGACAATTGTCACCAACGTACCTACCATGACTCGTACCAAAGCGTTATTTGTGAACTGTGGTCTGTGATGTTTCAGACAGAATGATTGAGATTACATGCTAACAAGGGTTTATAAGATATTAATAATATCTGCGTTATATTTTGTATTACTCTTATATTAATTGAGTATATTTACGAGATATTACTAGTTATCATGCATGATATTTAGAATACATACGTCGTATTTATTTTTGTTCTAGCATATTTTGTCACTGGCAAAATGTTGCTCATTTTCATGCTGTTTCTAAGAGTGCCACGGTTTTTGATAATTTTTAACCAAAACACAATTGTTATTATTTATGTTTATTTACTGCAGGTCTTGGTTAGCATTTAGGTAAAACATATTAAAACAAATACGTGGATTATATTTTGTGAAAGGTGTCAAAGTTTTACTTATCACTCAAAAGTTTAAAGCACATATCAGCAAACGCGGCGTTCGAATCGAATGATAACCCGACGATACCCGAATTCCCGCTCTCCTTCGCAGAGACTATGGGTATTTTATCACTATGCTAGGTAGTCGCCTGGGAACGCCCCACAACTTGCAGTTCTCTGTGGCTCCCTAGGTCAGGTCATGAGCTCAAATACTCGCAAATACTATGCAAAAATTGATTTTTTAAAATCTAAATCCGAGAAGCAATATTAACCCAATCACTTGTTCGTTTTATATCATTTGTTATTTTTATCAATAACAGCAAACGTGCGATGTATGTGACCTTTATGACGTCAGTGCAACTACAGCGGATACCGTTGCTCGTATTTCAGAGAATATAGACTTGATAAGAAATGGTAAGTCAGTCCACGTCATTCTATCAATTACGTCAGTACAATCATAGCGGACACTGTAGTTCAGAGAATTCAGACTTGTTAAGAATTTTACTTTCCGTGAAAAGTCGAAGTATTCTACTATAATATGTAGAAAGTACTCGCTATCATCGATACCCGCAATATTTTTATTTTCATGATTTTTCAAGAAATCGGGCAGTTGAAATCAAAAGAATGTGCGACAAATATACAACCCGTCTGCACTACTCGACAAGGACTAGTGTCCAATACGGGCGATGACGACCCGTCCCAGGTCACGTGTTTGGAAGATGAGGTAATGACTGGATGTAGCAGTCTTCTGCAAGGCGGTGGACACGATTCAAGGGATGGTGAAAAAATTGTGTTTTCCGTACAGGGACGCGCCACTTGTGTGGCATACAATGGTGTTGGAGGGGCTGGTAAGTTTAACTGAGATAAATTGTACAACTGATTGCGTTCATCAGATTGTATGAAATATTCTGCAAACATGAAAAAGATAACGGTATCTTAGTCCCGTGTTTATGGACGGTGGATGTGTAAATGCCGATTTTGTTCCAACATGATATAAAAATGAAACACACACTCGTCAATTTGTTCTGGGTTTGATGCACTGACTTACTGGTTTTCTGAATACACGAAATGCATTAGTTTATTTGAATACATCCTCAAACATGTTTATTGTCCTGATATTGACATTACACATCATGGCTTATTACATCGATTTGACTGATTGTGGTACAATGATGTTTAGCCTGACGAGGTCGCGTGAGTTGCTCAGTGGTTCTCCAAACCCACACAGTGAGGTCTGATGTCGTTCGGCCGGCGAGGGCCTACTCACGCATAAATGTCAGGCTAAATGATGTTCAGCTCATTCGTTTTTGTTGTCTACAATAATACTCGTATTGATTTAGTGTAGATTTTTTAGCAGGCGTTTGGAATGAGTCATTTGCGGCGGTAATTTGACTTGACTTATAGATCTTTAGATCCTGTCACAAATCACAATTATTGTCCTGTTGAAATCATAAGACAATAAATATTGAATTTGTAATCTCGGACATTTCCCCATGTCTGCAGTTTATTTTCTAAGCGATCCCCCCCCCATTGGTAGCATCTGGGTAGTATCGCCTGTCCCCATAGTCAAACACTATATAATGTACATTATATATCCCCAAACGATGTGTCGAAAGAAGATTTAATAATCGTTGTGCTTTACTATCGGCACAACAAATGCATTCCCTTCGTCTTGATAATTATTTATAAATGTCAATGTCAGTTTAAGAGTGCAGTTCGCGTTGACTTAATTTGAAAATGTTACATTGTTGTTCAATCGGTCAATAGAAACTCTTGTTTTATTTTGAAATGTGAAATTTATAAATGTTTATAAGATAACAGTAATGTCCCTGTTGTGCCAAGAGAAATGATGACCCGGCAAATATATGTACATTTATTAGGAGTGCGAGCATTTGCACGTTGCTGTACATGGCCTGATATGACGTGCTATTACCCCAAGTCTGAAAAATCCGAAAGACAAGACGACGCTATAGCTGAAACAGTATGTGATCATTGGTTCAACCGGCGTCCTACAATTCCCACAGGTAAGTTACCATAGTAACATGTCTTTCAAATTGAATAACACAATAGCGTGTGGACTTTCCCGGAAGTCGAAGATACGGCGTTTCGCATGCGCGCGCATGTCGTTTTGGGGTGTAACGTAAACTTGCATGCGTGATATTGTGCTTCTGAGTGCACCAATTGATATCACAAAAATAGAATCCCCTTCTATCGATTATAAGCAATCTGACATGTTTGTATTTTCCACCGTGACAAAGCAGGAGTATTTTTGCACCCCAGTTTTGCTACTTCCGGGAAAGTCGTCTATCTATTTGATTTATTTATAGAGGGGGCAAGGGGTAGTTGGTACAGTTTTACGGGAAATAAAAAGGGCTTTTTACAATTTACAAGGAAAAAAACAAACATTTTTACAGTTTACAGTGGAAATTGAATGTTTACAGAGAAAATAAAGGGTATTTTACATGTTACGGAAAATTAAACAAGAAAACCTAGAAAATTCTTGTACGTACCGAAAAAAATGACACATTTTATACAGTAAACGAAAAAAATATTTGATTGATTACGTTGTACGTCTAGCCTGTGATTACAGAATTATGGAATTATTTTTTTTAGCTCCGCTGTCGACTTTGTCGAGCGGAGCTTATCATATGAGTGATTGTCCGTCGTCGTCCGTCGTCGTCGTCCGTCGTCGTCGTCCGTCGTCCGTCGTCCGTGTCAATGTTTTACTTTTTCGACTTCTTCTTGAAAACTACAAGCCTGAATGCTTTGATACTTGGTGTATATGTACCTTGGGTAGACCTCTCTTAGGTTTGTTCATTTCATGTTGATATCTTCAATTCTCTAATTTTGGTGAATATTTTTGTCATTTTGTAAAAAGTGATATTTTCGACTTCTTGTAAAACCGCAAGTGCAATTGCTTTGATATTACATATATAGGTACTACATGTGGACCTCTCTTAGATTTGTTCATTTTGTAATGATATCTTTAATTCTCTAATTTTGGTGAATATTTTTGTCATTTTTGGTAAAAAGTGATATTTTCGACTTCTTGTAAAACCGCAAGTCCAATTGCTTTGATATTACATATATAGGTACTACATGTGGACCTCTCTCAGATTTGTTCATTTTCGTAATGATATCTTTAATTCTCTAATTTTGGTGAATATTTTTGTAATTTTTGGTAAAAAGTGATATTTTCGACTTCTTGTTAAAACCGCAAGTCCATTGCTTTGATATTACATATATAGGTACTACATGTGGACCT